ATTTTGTTTCTGTCTGTCTGAGAAGCCACACTTCATCCATGGGCCCCAAGATGCTGTGGTACCCTGAGCATGGCTTTGCTGAACCCTTGCCGTTGACTATCCCATGTGTCATCTTCCTAAGGCTTTTGTTTACATCCTGTGGTCGATAGATACTTGGAGGTCTGCAGTACACTTAGCTGAAGTTACTAGGTTTCTGTGTGTTAACTCTGAAGGCATTGCAAATGCTTGGCAGGGAGAAAGATTTGAAAACCTGTTTCCTTTGAAGCACAGCCCTGCAAACCTTTGCAAGTCCAGAGTTTGTTCATTCCACCTGTCTGGGAGGTGGTGATCTGGTTTCTATACTGATGGAGTGGAGCCTAGCCCACGGTTGTAACATAGGAGGGCTGTTGGTTCCCCTGTATTAGCATTCCTGTGCATCCATCCGGGCATTTACTCCCCTTCCTGCTCCTTTCTTGCACATCCCCAGTGTGTCGGGGAGTTGGCAGGCTTTGCCCTAGGAAGCTTGGTAACCTGCAGATCTGCAAAGGAAGTCGCGTTCCTATCCATTGCTTCCACTTATTATTTATCCATGGTCTAAATGTTCCTGGCTCTGTGTTCAACGGCATCAGCTTCTTCCACTTCAGCCCCCTCCAGTTCTCCAGTTCTCTGGGCAGTGGCCTGGTAGAGTATTTTTAAACCATAACAAAGAAGAAAGAATTAACTCACATGAAAAATGAATATGGATCCTAATTCAAATGTGAGAAGCACCAGATAAAGGAAGCTTGTGAAAGGCCCAGGTGCCTCTGTCTTTGAAGTGTGCTTGTGGGCAGGGCACAGGACTGCTTGATGCCGAGAGGTTAGGCCTCCTCTGGGCCCAGTTTTCAAAATGTTTAAATGGCTGAAAACATCTTTAATTCGCAAGAGATGACCAAAATACTAAATATTTAAAGTTAAGCAGCTTTACTTGAAGAAAACGGAAGGGACACCTTACCTTTTAGTGTAACTGTACACATGTATAGCACAGCCCTCCATGGTGCATGTGTGAACATCAGAGGGCATCTCCAGGCTCCAGCTCAGTTCCCCAGCTCAGAGGCAAGGGCTTTACCTACTGAGCCATCTCTCCACCTCTATAGTTTTGTCCTGGGACTGCTATCTCCTAGTATCTGGGATGATACTGCCCAGGCCACCAAGCCTGGCTGAGACCACCTTAATTTGCATATTCTCTTAGGTGGCCTCCTGAAAACCCACCTGGACAGAGGGATTTCTCCAAATTGACCAAATATCAAAGATCTAAAGTTCAGTAGTAAACAAGTATTAAATTATTGTTTTGTTTTATCATTTTATGTGTGTGGGTGGTTGGCTTGTGTCACATGTGTGCCTAGTGCCTGAGGAGGCCAGAAGAGGGCATCAGAGCCCCTGGAACAGACAGACTCGAACCCAGATCCTCTGGAAGAGTGGCCAGTAGTGCTGAGCTGAGTCTGCAACTGCATCGAGATTTTTAAAAATCTTCTGAATTCGTTGGTTGTTCTGCACATGACACTACGCCACTACCACCTGGCCACTTTTTTTTTCCCAATGTTTTTAAAATTTAATAGAAAAGTCTTTTGGAGTGTGTGTGTGTGTGTGTGTGTGTGTGTGTGTGTGTGTGTGTGTGTACATGTGAGAAGAGACATCACAAACAAGGAATTTTAAAGCTCGAATTTGTTTCTTTGTGTGTGTATGTGTATTTGGTTTTGTTTTTATTGTAGTTTTTTTGGATTTTGTTTTTTGGCAGGGGTTGGGGTGGTTTTGCTTTGTTTGTTTTGGGTTTTGGTTTGGTTTGGTTTTTCTGATAAGGTCTTACCACGTAGATCTGGCAGCTCACTATATAGATCATACTGGCCTCAAAGATCCACCTGCTTCTGCCTCCTGCGTGCTGGATTAAAGATATATGCCTCGCCTTGCCTAGCTCTAAAAGTTACATTTTAATTAATATGATTTATTTTAACTTAGCACCAAAGCCAGCATTAGTGAAATAGAGAAAAACTAACAGTAGACTAAGGCTTAGTGATGAGAGTGTTTGCCAGCCTTGCTAGATTCTGGGTTCCATCCTCAGCACAACTAAGGAGGGAGAAAAGAAAATGAAACCAAGAAGAACTGACAGAAGAGGCTCAGCTGCAGCTCCTAAAGGCAAGGCAGGCCGGCTAGATAGCTCGGTGAGCCCTCACCCCAGGCTTGACAGCCTGAGTCAGACCCCTGAGTTCTACATAGTAAAGGAAGAGTCATCTTCTTCTAATTTCCACGTGTGCGCTGTGATAGGGGTGTATCACACACACACACACACACACACACACACACACACACACACCAAGAAAGGCTTGGTTTTGAATGGGGGGGTCTTTGTGTTTTAGGAAAGTACAGTGCTATTGCTATTTAGTAGCATACTATAGTGATTCCAGCTCTTGGGAAGTAGAGACAGGAAGATCATGAGTTCAGAGACATTCTTGGCTGGGTGTTTGTGGTGGTAGTAGGATTTTTTTTTTTTTTTGGTTTTTGTTTTTGTTTGTTTGTTTTCATGGGGGTTTTTTGTTTTGGTTTTTTTTTTTTTTTTAACCAATCTGGTCTTCATGAGACCCTGTCTCAAAAAGAAGTTGAGGTGCTGGAGAGATTGCTCACTGATTAAGAGCACTAGGGACTCTTCCAGAGGATCTAAGTTCAATTCCTAGCATATATATATAGTGTGGCTTAAAACCAACTGTAAGTAACTTAAACTCCTAGGAATCCAACACCCTCTTCTGCCCTCCATGGCCACCTACACATATATGGCATATGCACATAAATTAAAATAATTTAAAGAAAATGTCCGTTGATACAGTAAGTATCGTGTGAATATGATATATTCACCTGACTATAAAGACATCACTCAAAAGCTAGAGCAGCTGGATGAGCTGACCCGTGCCCACAGTCTCAGCACTATGGAGGATGGGTATAATAAGTTCCAGGCCAGCAGGGCTATATCACAAGGCCCTATGAAAAGGTTGCAACTGTGCAGTAAACACTTCTGATGCTATGGCAACTGATAGGAAAGTGAGTCTTAAATGGCTCTCTTGGGGCTGGAGAGGTGGCTCAGAGGTTAAGAGTACTGGCTGCTCTTCCAGAGGTACTGAGTTCAATTCCCAGCAACCACATGGTGGCTCACAACCATCTGTACTGAGATCTGGCAGCCTCCTCTGGCATGCGGGCATACTGGAGGCAGAATGTTGTATACACAATAAATAAATAAATAAATAAATCTTTAAAAAAAAATTAAATGGCTCTCTTGAATAGAAACTGAGGTCCTAAACAGTCACCATCAACTCCTCTTAGTAGACTGATTTTCTTTTCCTTGGTCCTTGGACACGGATGCAGTTTTACTCTTAACCTCCACATAGCACTCTGCATACACGTGTCATGGTCCAGTAAAGCTGCTTTGCATTTAACTTTAAATATGAAGCAAAATTACAGGAACATCTTAATAGCACAAGGCCTCTCACCTTTAAGTTCTTCATTGTGAAAACTAGTGTGGGCCTTCTCCAGTTGGTATCGTGGATAGAAACATTTTAAACCTCACTTCTTGTCCCTTTTCCAGGGGAAATTGTCAATGCTTCCTTGGGTCCAGGTGCTTTGGTCTAGACTTTTGTGGGGATGCTATTGGCTGACCTCTACCTGCAATAGCAAACAAACATTCTTTTACCGTCAGATTCATTTTTCATGGACTATTCCTTTCTATAAAACCTTGTGGCTTAATGATCATTCTGCACTCCTGAAATAGTCACGATTCATTTGCATGAGGTATGTGAAGTAAAGTCGTAAGATGAAATGTGTAATTGAAGGATTTATTCATATGTTTGAAATGCTTGAATTTTTAACCTTTTGATCTCCACGTTTCTAGATTCATTTAGTGCTCTCCGCTGTTTGTTTTCAAACTATAACAGGCAAGCCCTATCTTTACAGAGGGGACATAAAGCCAGACATTCTTACGGATTTGTACATGTGTATGTAAAATGTAGCTCCCGTCTAGATTATCCTGGGGAGTGTTACTCCTGAACTGACAGTGAGTGAAATTGTACCATTTAATAACCATACGTCAAGGTTCAGCTCAATCTTGCCTAATGTTTCTTTGTTGCTGTCAATATCAAATGAAAGTAAGATGATGCGTGCAGGGGCTGTGGTTTGCTCTGGGTATGACAGACAATTAAATGAACATTTAAATTTTTTTCAGTCTACGGCAGAATAATTCCTTACAAGGCTGGAATTGTTATGTGCTCCATAGTGGAGTGCTTGATAATCGTGAGTGAGGTGTTGAGTTCAGTTCCCAGTACTACAAAAATAATAATCGTTTTCTACAATATCCTACAAATGCTGTCCAACACAGATATAACCTCTTGTGCAGTCTGTTTATTCATAAGTTACAGCATAGGCTTTCAGTTTTAGGAGGTTTCCGGTGATTTTCTTTTGCAATTAAACCCACCCTTTTCCTCATTATCTTTTAGTTCTTAAGACAGAAGAACCAGATAAGTCTCTATTGTGTATGTGTGTTTCTATTGCATATACGTATACGGTGTGCTATAGTTCTGTTAGCGCGGTTGTGCTAAGATGTGCTGATTTGAGTGCCCACACTGTCTGAGTGTGTGTGCACTGTGGCAGATGCTTTTTCCTGGACGTGCTGACGCAAACATTTGGTTCGGTGCAGCTGCTGTGGCTGTGTTTGTCCATTTTCCATCAAAGTAATGTGTATCTTTACAGTGGAAAATGGAAGGTGCTATATTAATTTTGTTTGGCCAGCTTATTGTTTGGCATATTCTTATGTATCTTGCATATTGTATCAGTGCTAAGTGTTTCTCTACTTTTGTGATGGTTTGTGCTTGAATTAAATTTCTAGAAGTATAAAAATCATTAAAATCCTGCTTATGATTTTGACAGAAGTTTTAAAGTGTTCACTGTAGACTATATATTACTTAAATATGATTTTTAAAGTTGCTCTGTGGCATTTTTTCTTATAGCTGTCACAAGATGAATGTAGAGGCCCATTGTACAAATACAGACCCGAAGAAGTAGATATTGATGTAAGTATCTCTGACCTCCAGACAGAACTCTTTGTAGACCAGACTGGCTTTGAGCTCAGAGAGATCCTCCTGCCTCTGTCCCTCAAGTACTAGGATTAAAGGTGTACAGCATGAAGCCCAACTATTCAGGAACCACATTGGTCCATTCCTGCCACCCCAGCAAAGCTCAGGCAGGAGGAGTTGAGGAGGTTCCCGGACAGCATAGATGAGGAGACTTCGTCTTGAATAAACAGAGACAAATAAATAAATAAGTGGTTTGCACTAGGGCTGTCGTTGGGCAGTAGAGCATGCGCTTATGATTCCTGAGACCCTAGGTTCCATCTCCAAAGCCAGAAGAGAAAGGAAAACATCAGCATGTGCCTCTGGTCTAAGATGCATCCATGATTGGTAAGGGTGTTTGGAGATGTGTGAGCACCCTGTAACTGTTTGTCTATTGTTTATTTGATTGGAGACATCTGCCTGCCTCTGTCTCCAGAGATTAAAGGCATGCGCCGTGTTCCCTGCCACATTACTGTTGGTGGTTCTCATTGACATAAAAATGCCCTGAAGGGGGAAAGTGTAACCAGAGTATAGTGCATGAAAAAAAATTTTCAATTAAAAGAATTAATTTTTACAAAGTTCTACTAGATATTCCATAATTGTTATGATTGTTTTAAATGGCTCCCTTCCCTTTCTTATGGGAAAGACTTTAAATTGCTAACAACAAACGTCTTCTCTTCTAGACCAAACTGAGCAGATTGTGTGAACAGGATAAAGTGGTCCGCGCCCTGGAGGAGAAGCTGCAGCAGCTCCACAAGGAGAAAGTAGGGCCATTCCCTTTACTATGTCCAGTCAATGTTGCTGCCTGTGCCAAAGACAACGACACGGGTAGCCAGAGTTACAGGAGTGTATCCTCTCTATCCCAACAGTACACACTCGAGCAGGCCTTGCTGTCTGCCAGCCAGGAGATAGAGATGAATGCAGACAACCCAGCCGCCATCCAGACAGTGGTGCTGCAGAGGGATGACCTGCAAAACGGACTGCTGAGCACGTGTCGAGAACTCTCCCGAGCCACTGCTGTGAGTACTGCAGTTTTCCCAGAAGCCTGGAAGTCCTGGCTGTGGACCTGGTGTCACAGCACTAGAAGACTGAGGCAGGATGCTCGCTGAGTTCAAGAACTACCTGATAGTGGAGTCAGTTCAGAATTGGCATGTGCAACTTAATGAGAACCTTTCCTTTTTAGGGGGATTTCAAGGCAGGGTTTCTTTGTGTAACTGCCCTGGCTGTTCTCGAACTTGCTGTACACACCTTTATTCCCAGCACTCAGGAGGCAGAGCGGGCAGATCTCTGTGAGTTCAAGGCTAGCCTGGTCTATAGAGCAAGTTTCAGGACAGGCTCCAAAGCTACAGAGAAACCCTATCTTGAAAAAAAANGACTGAAACTGAGAATTCACACAGAAGAATCTTAAATGGCTGAGAAACACTTAAAAAAAAAGGGACAAAAAAAAAAAAAAAAAAAAAAAAAAAAAAAAAACAAATAAATTAATAGAATAGAATAGAATAGGATAGAATTAGCAGATGATGCAACTTTATCACTGCACTCCTGGGGATCTACCCAGAAGACTGTCCGCACACCACAGAGACACGCTCATCCAAGAGCTAAGAGATGGAGCAAGCCTAGATATGCCTGGATATGCATAATCTAACAAATGCCATACTTATATACCATATATAATATACACCATGGACTTTTTTTTTGCATCCAAAAAATCCAAAGGTTAAATCATGACATTTGCAGAAAAATAGATGGAACTGAATGAAGTCATTGCATTAAATAAAATAAGCCAGACTCTGAAATAACACCACATGCTTTCTCTGAATGAACTGTGCCTTGTAAAAGAGGAAACCACAGAGGAGAGTGAGTTGTAGCAGTTTTGTTTGGGTGCTGGAGGTGTAACTCAGTAAAACACTTGCTTACTATGTTCTTGGCTTCAGGCTCCAGCACTGCCTAAAGATATTTTTATTTTGCCCAAAATAAACCATACAGTTTCCTGAAATCTTGGGATGATTTAAGTATACTGATAATACCATTAAAACTTGGGTCCCCTTATAAAATAATGAACGCTTTGACTTTAGGAGCTGGAACGAGCCTGGAGAGAATATGACAAGTTAGAATATGATGTGACTGTCACCAGGAACCAGATGCAGGAGCAGCTTGATCGCCTTGGGGAAGTGCAGGTAGGACTGGCGGGCGGTCTGCTATAGCCTGAGCAGCTCGGTAACAGTCCGCTCCTCGTCTTTGCCTTTTACTGACCCCTGAGGAGCCCTAAGGTGCTTGTGCTTCTTGGTGTTTCACATGGTTTTCTCAGCATGGTGCTCCCTTGGCGCTGTGGTCTCAGCGCTTCTGTGAGGTTCAGACTCACAAGTCATCAGTGATGGCTGATACAGAATTGTTCGTTATATGCTTTGTTTTTTCCTCTGGTAAGTGTCGCCTTTGTGGCTCTTGCAGATGCTGACATTATAAATATGCCACACCAGACCTATTTATAATAGTGTTTATTTCTCAATGATATTTTTCTCGGGGCTGGAATGACTGGTGGCTTAGCCCTTCATAGCACTTGCTGCTCTTCCACAGACCCCCACATTGAATTGGGAAGGATTGGGAGGTGTGGCCTTGTTGGAGAAGGTGCACCCCAGCCCACACCAGGCTCAGTGTCTCTCTCTACCTGTTGATCAGGGCATAAAGCTATCGGCTGCTGCTCCAGCACTATGCCTGTCTGCTTCCAGCCATGATGATCAGGGACTAACCTGAGAGTGTAAGCGAGCCCCCAGATAAATGCTTTCTTTATGGGAGAGTTTGCATTGGTCATGGTGTCTCCTCACAGCAACAGGACAGCTGCTGAGACAATGTGTATGTCACCTATGTGGGCACCCTCGGAGGCCAGAGGAAGACATTGGATCTCCTGGACTAAGTATTGCAGGTGTCTGTGTGCTTTCCAGTGTGGGGTCTCTGGAAGAACAGCAAGTGTTCTGAAGTGCTAAGCCGTCATTCCAGCCCCGAGACAATTACTACTTCCCTGCAAGGGTCATACAGTTGGAACAAAGTCTTGCAGCTCTGTGATTTTAGCCTAAAAGCATGATACAGGATATTAGAAGTAGAAAAATGAATTACCAGAGCAGAGTCACAGTAGTGATTGGTGTTTGTATTGCAAATAAGTTTATTTACTTCTGTCGTCAATCCAGTGTTTCTTATGTTCTAGAATTTAGGAAGTAACACAGGAGCCCTTATCTTCAGAATAGGTCCCATGCCTTTCAGTGAATCACGAAACCACAAATAATATCGAGCCCTGTATAATAAGGGTTGGGAGGAGGTGATCCCCAGGGCATTGAGAAGTACTCAGCATCAGCCGGACCACTAAACTGCTCCGGTCCACACCTGCAGCAGCAGCAACACACTAGCGCCTGTGGCTGACCTAGCAGCGCAGTCCAGTGCTGGGGTAGTGCAGATGGCGGTCTTCGTGCGGGTCCAGCATACTCCCCACCATTGGCTATGAATAGGGAACTGGTGAGAATGGACCCGTAGTGAGGGAGCCCACGGAGACCCTCCTGTGGCTTCCTCTCTGTCCTCAGGGACTTGCGTCTATCTTGTTTTACCTTAGGAACGGTAAGTTTTTGTTTTCCCTTCTCAGAGTGTGCCTTTCTGGGACTATGAAGAAAGCACACTTGTACATAGCACCCTTGTGTCAGAGAAACTTTTTCTCTTTTTATTTTCCCTTTTTTATCTTTGCAACATCATGGGTTCACATGTTTTATCCTCAATATCCTGGGTACTTATAACTAGTGAGACTTAGAACTTTGACTTTTTTTCCCCAACTTATTGTTGACTTGGTTATTTTCCTATTGCCGTGATAGAAAACCCTGTCAAAAAAACATCTTAGGGGGGCTGGAGAGATGGCTCAGTGGTTAAGAGCATTGCCTGCTCTTCCAAAGGTCATGAGTTCAATTCCCAGCAACCACATGGTGGCTCACAACTATCTGTAATGAGATTTAGTGCCCTCTTCTGGCCTGCAGACACACACAGACAGAATAATGTACACATAATAAGTAAATAAATATTAAAAAAAAAAAAAAACCATCTTAGGGGAAGAAGGGCCTACACTTGGCTCACTGTTCCGAGGGATAGAGCCATTATAGCCGGGAAGACATGGCAGCAAGAGCCAGAGGCTGGCCTGCAGGCCTAAGGAGAGAGAGCAAGAACGGGAAGGGAACTCCACCTAGTGTGTGCTTCCTCTAGCAAGGCTCTGCCAGCTGAAACCAAGTGTTCAAATGCATGAGTCCCTGGATGACATTTCCAGCTCACGCACCACAGTGACCTGTCCGTCTTTACCAATAGAGCGAATCGGCAGGGATTCAACGGGCACAGATTCAAAAAGAACTTTGGAGAATTCAAGATGTCATGGAGGGCTTGAGCAAACATAAACAGCAAAGAGGCTCCTCAGAAACAGGTGGGTCCGCTTTGCATGTCTGTGTCCAGCTAGAAAAATCTGTCATTTTAATGGGGCACAGAAGTTAATAAACTAGAAGTTTATTATGGCAGCCATGGCCGCATAAAGCCTTGTCCTGTGTGTATGATGCTGACCGTACTTCAGCGATTCCTCTCTTCTGAATCTTCTCAATGGGAAAAAAAGATCTCACTCTGTAGACCAGGCTGGCCTCAAACTCACAGAGATCCGCCTGCCTCTGCCTCCCGGGTCCGGGGATTAAGGCGTGTGACACCACTGCCCAGCAAGGATGGTGATCATACACAGGTTTTTCCTTTTGCTTTTTCCCTTTTAATAGTATTTTATTTTTCTTTGAAAGTTTCATGCATATTTTACACAATGTATCTTGACCATACCACCACAGCTTCCCTCAAGGCTGTCAACACCACCTTCCTGTCTTTTCTTTCCCTTTTCTTGTTTCCAACCAATGTTTGCAGTTCCTGTTGCTGTTAGCCTGCTGACTGATCTGGTTGGCTTTCCCCTCCTGAGTGTATGTGATGCTAGCCGCCTGTGACACTGTATAGATTAACTACTTGATCCTTCTCCTTACTGTTGAACGTGTGCAGTTTCTGGAGTACTATTTTGGTACCATCTGTAAGTCCTTCTTCCTTCTGTAGCAGGCACCATTAGGCATATAAGAGAACATCCTTGCTAGTCCCCACTGGGTTCCACAGTATAAAAATTAGTACCTCCTGCATTCTAAAGGATATGGCCAGACTGCTGTCATCAGAGAGCACTGTTTATACTTTATTATAGTATATAGTAATGCTTGAGGAAACCTGTTTTCACATATCCTTTCTTTTTCTATATTTAAGGTTCTTTTTGAAATTTATTTTATGTGTCCAGGTATTTTGCCTCCATGTTTGTCTGTGTAACGTGTATCCATAGAGGCCAGACAAGGGCACCAGATCCCCTGGAACTGGAGGAACTGGACTTTTTCAGCCCATTGTAAGCCACCAGAAGAGCGCTGAGAATCCAGCCAGTGCTCTTAACCAGTGAGCCATCTCTCCAGCCCCACGACCATTTCTTAAATTTAGTATTTAGAGCAGGTATTGGCAGCACATACCTTTAATCCCAACACTCAGGGGGCAGAAGCAGGCAAATCTCTGAGTTTGAGGCTAGCCTGGTCTACAGAGAGAGTTCCAGAGAAACCCTGTGTTGGAAAACCAGAAAAGAAAAGACACTGAAGGCTAACCCATGTAACCCTAGCACTCAGGAGGCTGAGGCAGGGTAAACTTAAGCTCCATAGCAAGCTCCTGCAAACACACACAGTGAAGGTGTGGGGACAGTGATGAAGGCTTCGTGGAGATGAGTGAGCAAGTGGGACCAGGTGGCCAGATGGCTCATTGGGGAAGGACGCTGGCGGGCAGTACTGGAGACTGAGTTTGATTTCTGAGGCCCACCAGGTGAAAGGACAGAGCCCACTTCTGGATTGTCCTCTAACCTCTGTGTGTGCACTCTGGCGCGTGTGTGCATACCCTCCCTCACACACAAAGTAAATGCATTTAATTTAAATGCTTTGTTTTTGATTTTGATTTTCAAGACAGGGTTTCTTTGTGTAATAGCCCTAGCTGTCCTGGACAGCTGTAGACCAGGCTGGCCTTGAACTCAGAGATCCATCTGCTTCTGTCTTCCAAATGCTGGGATTAAAAGCATGCGCCAACACCGCCCAGCTTAATTTAAAATTCTTAAGTAAAGTAAGCTAACTGAAATCATTCTTTCTGCGGGTTTAGGAAGGTTTTCTTAGTATAAATATTTATGTTTTCTGATTTTCCCAGTAGGTCTGGCAGGATCAATGCCTTTCTCAGCAGCTAAGTACAAAAGCGAGGTAAGTTTGGTTTGTTCTTGTAACTAACTTTAAATGTTAACGAGTGAAATTAAAAGTTAGTCTTCTCTATTCTTGAAATAAATAATTTTTAGCCTACCTGGAATGATCATGCATACCTGTAACCCCAGTACTCGGGAGGTTGAGGCAGGAGGATGGCAAATTTGCAGCCAGCCTGGGCTACATAGCATGACTCTCTCTCTGGAAAAAGAAAAAGAAAAAATAGAAATGTCTTTTAAATGTATTTAGATCATTTTCATCTTGAAATGTCACTGACTTGGTAATTTAGTGTCTTAGTAATTTCTAACATGAGTTTTCTTCCTTAAATGTGAAAATCACATTAGTACTACTCTTCGTCTGCTAGAGCTTTAACATCATTGTGCTTTTTCTAAGTAATTTGAATATTTATCGTGGCTTCTTATCTTTGATAACATTTATAGGATGGTTGCTAGCTAAAATTGGCTTGGTCATGCATGCCATAGAGAATTTATAACAACAAAGAGATACTGTCAACCTAACTGAAAAAAAGTCTGTGGCCTTGAGCTTTGTTTAAAAGCCAAAAAATTCTTTTCCTTTTTCTCTCAAAATCATCAAAAATGCATAATAATATTATTTTTTACTTTTTATTATTTTTTTAGTCCTCCTGGTTTTACAGTAATTTCCCACAGTAATCTATCTGGGTAGATAAAGCTACCCCGTAAGTGTAGGAGAAGACAGATATGACACTTAAAACCCCGTTGTTTACTATCAAGCGAAATTGTTTTGGTTTTTCAGTGTGAGACTTTTGGCTTGGCAGTGTCCCTTTAATGATATTAAAGTAACTTTAAGTTAATGTAGCAATAAAAACAGTTTAGAAATGCTTAACCCGATCTGCTTATCTAAATAAGGTGACTATTCTACAATCTTTAGGAAGAGGAAGTAGTCCCACCTCGGCCTCCACTTCCTCGGTCCTATGACTTTACCGAGCAGCCTCCCATAATCCCCCCTCTGCCCAGTGATAGCAGCTCCTTGCTCTGTTATAGCAGGGGCCCCGTGCATCTGCCTGAAGAAAAGAAGATTCATCAAGTTCAAGGATATCCAAGAAATGGATCTCACTGTGTAAGTGGCTGGAATAGCCACAGAATGATTTCATATAACCACCCATTTTTGAAAATTAATTTATTTCATACTCCTGCTTATTTTTGCTATAACTCAATTTTTTAGCTAGTGCTTTTTTGTTTGCATATAACATTGCCCTTTGTTTTTCCAATTTACATTTTATCATTTTTTTAATATTCTCATTTTAATATTTCATTATTCATAAAGTGGTTACTTTACACATTCTGATCTAACCATATTTTAAATTTGCCACTTCAGAGTGTTAGAGGCGAATAGAATATTTAGCACAGAAAATAGCAAAATGAGTGGAAGGTGGGCAGTTTAGGAAAACCCTGAAAGGACACAGGGAGCAGGGATTGAAAATGAGGGCTTTAGTGAGCAGCAAGGAGACTGTCATGAGCAAGAACAGTAAGGGACTTAGAATCAGGCAGATGGATTATGAGATCAAGACCCTGTCACCAAAAGCAAAACAAGAAAATAGACCTTAATATTTTGAGAAATACAAAGTATTCTCTGACAGAATTGTAGTTTGGGGTGAATGTTTCTTACTCAGACTTATTTCTAGATGGAAATTTATTGCACTGTATGGTTATTTTTAAGCCTTAGTTTGATCATGATAACAATGTAACTTTGAGCCCCGTATGATGGTGTCCACCTGTCGCCAGCACTCAAGAGAGGCAGATACAGGAGAGCTATGGCTCTAAACCAGTGTAGTCTGTGCAGCCTGGGGGATGGGGGATGGAAATACATGCTTAGAGGTCAAAAGGATCAGGAGGTCAAGGCCAATCTGGGCTCTGTGAGACCTGCCTCTAAAGGATGACTCTGGGAGATAAAGTACGTGCAGGCAGCTCGAGAGATGGTTCCCTGGTTAAGAGCACTTAGCCATTAACGTCTTGACTCCACAGGAGCTCACATTTAGTTCTTTGTACCTACAGAGCAAGGCACAGTCACCCAGAATGGCAACTCTAGGGAACCCAACACCCTTTTATGTCCCCTCTGGACACCAGACATACCTGTGTGGTACACTTAGAAACACTCAGCCAAAACACTAATGTACATAAAATAAATCTTTAGAGTGAGTGCAGGGCCTTTGGTTCAATCCATACACACAGAAAAAAAAAAAGGGGGGGGGACTTTGTTTCTAGGAATATTCTTAATTTTAAAATAGTAAGTTTTACTAATTAACGCCCTATCAGAGTTGGGGTACTCAGTTGCCATGTGATATGTGTTGTGCCATGTCAGAGTTGGCACTTTGGGTTGGCATCTTTGAAGGTACCCTATTTTTCGGTTGAGCCCAGGACCTTACACACTAGGCAAGGCTGGCCGTACCTAGCCTCCTACCTAGTTGAGGTGCACAGAAGACGATGACCGTGTCGTTTTACCGTTGTTGTTGTTGCAATCACATGTCTTCCATTCAAGGGTCCAGATTATAGACTCTACAAGAGTGAGCCAGAGTTGACCACAGTAGCTGAAGTTGATGAATCTAACGGAGAAGAAAAGTCAGAACCGGTTTCTGAGACGGAAGCTCCAGTTGTTAAAGGTCAGTGTTCACAGTATTTTTATCTTCTCCTTTCATGGTTCACGTTGTTTTCAGATATTTTGGTGTACGCCCTCACCCAGCATAGACGTAAGTCCATAATCTCATATCTAAAATCTTTGGGATCTCTTTGAATTTCTCAAGACATTAAAAAAATGTTTTGAGCTGGGCATAGTGCTGAATCTCTGTGAGTTCAAGGTCAGTCTGGTCTCTGTAGTGAACTCAAGGACAGCCAGGGCTATATAGTGAGACCTTGTCTTGAGGGAAAGAAAGGAATGCTTTAACCCAGACATGGTGACACAAACATACAGGATTGCTGAGTTTGTGTCCAGCTAGGGCTACTTAGCATGACTCTGCCTCCGAAAACATACATAAAGGGGGCAGAGTTGGCTCAGTGATTAGGAGCACCGGGTGAGGACCTGGGTTCAACTCTCGATACCTGCATGGCAGCTCCCAGCATCTGTAACTCCAGTTGCACAGGATCCAAACTCTCTGACCTCTAAGGACACCAGGCACACACAATGTGCACATACAAACGTACACATCAAATAAATAAATCTTTTTTTTTTTTTTTTTTTTTTTTTTGGTTTTTTGAGACAGGGTTTCTCTGTCAGCTTTGGTGCCTGTCCTGGCACTAGCTCTTGTAGACCAGGTTGGCCTCGAACTCCCAGACAGAGATCCGCCTGTCTCTGCCTCCCGAGTGCTGGGATTAAAGGCGTGCGCCACCACCGCCCGTCCAAATAAATAAATCTTTAAAATGTGTTTTTTAAAGAAATTAAAATGAAATAAAAAGAACCAGAAATGTTTAGGCAGAAGAGTCACCATTAGGGGTGGTGTACCAGCTCAGTGATGAGGAGTGCTTGCTGTTCTTCCAGAGGACCTAGGTTCGGTACCCAGCGCCCACATCATGCAACTCACAGCCACCTGTAATTCCAGCTCCAGGAGATTCCAACATCCTCTTCTGGCCTCCACGAGCACTGGCAAGTGCACATGAATGTGTGTGTGTGTGCATGTGAAGGTGTGCGTGTGTACGTGCACGCTCAAGCCACAGCTAGCGACTTTGCTGGAGACCTGTCTTGCCCAGCTGACTCCAGGCCATTAGGATTGTTTCCTATGGGAGCACAGTGGTGTGCTGTAGTTCTTTATCGGAGAGCCTCCCACTACACAGTAGTCTGACAGGATTCAGACGGTTCTGTGTGGAGACTTTCTAGGCAGGATGTCATATCGCTGCCTAGGACCCCATTCTCGGTCCATTAATCATGGCCCTGTACTTGCAGTTTTTGCTTTTCCTTCCTACTGTTGGGAGGGAGACTCATCTGCATCTAGAAATATCTCGCAAGCATCCTTTTGCTTCCCTCCCCGCGCCACCATCCCCACCCCCATTTCTGCCCTAGTGCTGGGGTGAAATGCTTCATCACCAACCTTGGGTCTCATCTGAAGTAGGCTGGTGGACTTTTGCATGAAGAAAATCCATCATATCAAATTGCATTATAACAAATCATTTTTTATTTCATTTGTCTTAGTGTTTTCCTGTATTTGTACATGTGTTCACGCATGCCAGGACACATATGTGGAGGTCAGAGGACAACCTTAGATGTTGGTCCTCACTTTAGAGACAGTCTCTTGTTTTTTATTGGTTTTTTTCTGCCGTGTGTGCTAGGCAGTTGGTCCATGACCTTCTGGGGATGCTGCTGCATCATCCCCTCCGCTCCCCACAGAGGTGCATCCAGTGTGTGCATGCCCTGTCACTCTCGTAGAATCAGTTCATTCCTCCAGGTTTTATGTGGGTTCCAGGAGTTGAACTCACGTCTTCAGGCTTGCATGGTAAGCACTTTTATCCACTGAACTATCGGCCCTTGTACCCTTCCTTATTTTTTCAAATAGCATTTCAGTCTAGCCCAGGTGGATGGGGGAAGGGATCCTCTTTTTCTACTGCAGGCCTCTGTTTTGCAGCAGGGAGACTCATGCTTTCTTCTGCACATCCCCAAACCATTGCAATGTTACCGCTGTGAAATGACTGACTGTTCGATACAGAAACAGTAAGCCGGATGGAGTTCTACAGAACTTCACTACAGACAGGCGCTGGAGAAATGCTTCTGGCGTCTGCCAATCTGCAATGGTGGAAACAGCGAGAGCAGCCACTCACAGCACAGGACATCTCTTACAGCTATAGACTACAGAGTGTGCCAGTTAGTGAAGTGCTGGATGGGGATCTGATCACTGGTAGAGGAAGGGAGGTGCTAGAGGTTAGGAGGCATGGCTGATGCTCGCTGCACGGGCAGCAACTGTGGGCAGCCTATGCATGCTCTGCATGTGTTTCTCCCTCACACAGTTTTCACACTTCCAGCGACAGAGAGGCTAGAGTTTGTCACTAAGGTGCTTCATTTTGGTCTTGAACACCCTCACTGTCCTACTGCCTTCTTGTTCTCAGCATCTCTTGCTCCATGTTCCTATTCCTTGGGACTGTCTCACCTTTCTGGAATGGGCTCGGATTCACTGTGCACTGGAGTTTATGCCAAGCTGGTCTTTGTGTTGCTTTTCAGATGATAAAATGGAGTATAGTTCAGTTTATTTTTGCTTTTCTTTGGATCTGGCAGTACTGGATATCGGACCTCACGTGTGCTAGGCAGGCACTTTACTTGAGCTTATGCCTGTGTGTGATCCAGGCGCCCATAGAGCCCAGAGGATCAGATTCCTCTGGAGCTGGAGTTCTAGGTGGTTGTGAGCCGCCTGGTGTGGGTGCAGGGAACCGAACCCAGGTCCTCTAGGAGAACAGTATGAGCTCTGAACAACTGAGCTGTATTGATACTAAATCATTCCGCTTGCATTCCTAGAATAAACCCCAGTTACAGAGCTGTTGGCAGAAAATACAGCTGTCTTTCCCACATTAAGAGTGGATTATGGGGCTGGAGAGATGGCTCAGAGGCTAAGAGCACTGACTGCTCTTCCTGAGGTCCCGAGTTCAATTTCCAGCAACCACATGGTGGCTCACAACCATCTGTAATGAGATCTGGTGCCCTCTTCTGGCCTGCAGGCATACATGCAGACAGAACACTGTATACATAATAAATTTTTTTTTTTAAATGAGATTTAAAAAAAGAGAGAGAGAGAGAATACTTTATTCCGAACCACATGTGTGTGTCCATGACCTGGGAGTACACCTTCAGGTTACTGCTCTGGCAAAGGACCTGGGTTCCCAGCACCCATGCCAAGCATCTCACAATCACTAATAACTCTGGGGATCTGATGCCTCTGTGAAACTCACCATGCACACACACACACAGAGTTAAAAATACAATGAATTAATTTTTTTTAATTTATTTATTTATTTATTTATTATGGATGCAATATTCTGTCTGTCTGTATGCCTGCAGGCCAGAAGAGGGCACCAGACCTCATTACAGATGGTTGTAAGCCACCATGTGGTTGCCGGGGAATTGAACTCAGGACCTTTGGAAGAGCAGGCAATGCTCTTAACCGCTGAGCCATCTCTCCAGCCCCCTGAATTAATGTTTTTAAGGTTTATTTTTATTTATCCGTTTTATAGATGTATGTCTCGTGTGGGTGCCCTCGGAGATGAGACTAGGTAGTGGAGAGCCCTTAGAGCTGGAGTTGCAGGGGGTTATGAGCTGCCTGACGTGGGTGCTGAGAGCTGAACTCCGGTCCTCTGTAACAACAGGAAATGCTCTTAACTGCTGAGCCTTCTCTCCAGCCCCAGAACTTTGCAAGGGGGCACCAGAGCTAGTGTGGTCTCGTGGCAGGCAGAGCACTGGCCATGGATGAGACTGAGTCCCACCTGACAAGAAATCCCTAAAAAGCAAAGCCTCCAGAGCAGGGCGTCACCAGGACACCATGCTGTGACACAAACCTTCTGTGGAACTTACACTGCCTTAACTTTCAGGTTCCCACTTTCCAGTTGGAGTTCCTCTGAGAACGATGTCACCCCCACCGGAATCCTCGACAATAGCTTCCTATGTGACCTTGAGGAAGACGAAGAAGGTGGAGCTAAGAACGGTACAGACCAAGCTCCCCAGTCCCAGCTCCATCTTTTAAAGTAGCATTGGTGTTTAATAAGATAGTTTTGTTTTGTTTTGTTTTGTTTTTTTTCAAGACAGGGTTTCTCTGTGTAGCCCTGACTGACCTGGAACTCACTCTGTAGACGAGTCTGGTCTTGAACTCACAGAGATCCACCTGCCTCAGTCTCCTGAATGCTGGGATTTAAGACATGTGCCGCCCCCACCACCCAGCTTCAGTAGGGTTTAATAAAATGATTTAATATAGATTTGGGGCTTGAGGGTTAAGAGAAAGAGAAGCACTCAGAAGGAACGCCAGCAATGTCATGAGTGTAGCTGAGACAGTTGCCCTTTGGCTGTTCCAGCTCTCAGTCTCCATACCCTCACAGTGGGATGAGTTGATTTCTGTGGCACTGAGGCTGGAGCCCAGGGCCTGTGCAGCTAGGTCAGCTCTCTGCCACAGGCTGTCTTCCTAATCCTGCTTTTTGCTGCTGCTGTTTTTCTTTATAGTTCCCTAATGTCTCATGTGACTGAGTGAGATGGACCTCAAGCTTGTGAGCCTCCTGCCTCAGACTCCTGAGTGCTGGGTTATTTGCCTGAACTTTTTTTTTGTTTGTATATTTTATTTTCTGTGCATTGGTATAACAGTGTCGGAATCTCTGGAACTGGAGCCACAGGCAGTTGTGAGACACCATGTGGGTGCTGGGGCTGGAACCTGGGTCCTCTAGAAGAGCAGTCAGTGCTCCCAACTGCAGAATCATCTCACCAGTCCCCCCGAACACTTTTTTTAAAACCAAGAAAGCAGTACCCTCTCTGTGCCCTTCTTCTCTGTGCCTCCGCATTGGTAGCCCTTTGCTGGTTCCCTCTATCACTGCCCACTGCCATCAGGACCAGTTGAGGGTGAGGTCACTTTAGCTGCCGTCTGATGTTCCCTCACTGGCATTCAAATCTCCACTTGATTTTTGAAGGCAAAAATAAGTAACTACCTTATAAAATCTTTTATTTATGATATTTTTTAGAAGTATCTGTTTTTGACACAACATCTTATGTAATCCAGTCTTGCTTAAACTCTGTGTAGGTGAGGATGGCTGGACTGATAAACAAGCGTCTGATTTAATTGGAGCAGGGAATACAGTTCAGGGCCTAATACACGCTATGCAAGCGCTCTACCAACTGAACATCTCCAGCGTGGGGGGGTGGGGGCAGCGCGCATGCGTGCGTTTGTATTCATGGGCTTGTTTTTTGATCTTAAGGAAAGACCGAGAAGCGCAGTGGAACAGCTGTGTCTGGCTGAGAGCGTTCGGCCTAGGATGACCGTGGAAGAGCAAATGGAGAGGATAAGGAGACACCAGCAGGCCTGCCTGCGGGAGAGGAAGAAGGGACTGAGTGTCATCAGTGCTTCCGACCAGTCTCCCTTACAGAGTCCCTACCCTGTGCGGGACAATCCTTTCAGGGTCACTCAGGTATGTTGGCTTTGGATGGAATTGCTTTTGGTTATTATGTATCAATCCTTTCTGTTCGTTTGTTAAGAAAACTGGCTTATTTAGCTGGCTACAAAAAAAGCAGCAAGCCTGGCAGTATCAGAAGCACGGGAACCATTTTCCTGTTGTTCTGCGCTAGTTAATCAGTGACCACAAAACTACATCCCCAACCCTCAGTAAAAGTTTTTATTTTGTGACAAAAACCTCATAAATTGTTTGGGATCTCCTTGAACTCATTCTGTAGCCCAAGCAGGCCTTGAACCTATGGTTCTCTTGTCCTGTCTCCCATGTAGCCAAGATGATAAATTTGTATCACACGGCCAGGCTAAAGTCATAGGTAGAACTGATCTGCAGAAAGATTTTTCTTGGCGCGGCCAGCTCACAAAAAAACACACAGAGACTTATTATTAATTATAAAAGCTTGGCCTGTAGCTTAGGCCTGTCCCACTAGTTTTTATAACTGAAATTAACCAATTCATATTAAGCTACATTTTGCCTTGTGGCTTTTTACCTCTCTTCCATCTTACACCTCCTGTGTAGAAGGAGCTGCGGGCAGGCCTGCTTTTTGTCCCACCCGGCTCCCGCATGGTTAGCTTAGCCCTCAAAATAACAACACACAAATTGTATTCATTTAAACACTGCCTGGCCCATTAGTTCCAGCCTCTTCTTGGCTAACTCTCATATCTTGCTTTAACCCATATCTAATAATCTGTGTAGCACCACGAGGTGGTAGCTTACCAGGAGGATTCTAGTATATGTCCATCTTGGGCTGCAGCTTCATCACATCTGCCCTGGAGAGGAGAGGCATGGTGATTGCCTCACTTCCTCCCAGCATTCTGTTCTGTCTACTCCACCCACCTAAGGGCTAGCCTATCAAATGGGCCAAGGCAGTTTCTTTACTAACCAATGACCTTCCTCCATCACTCCTGTTTTTTTCCAAGTCCTCTAGCGTCTCTCCTGTGTCTAGATTCATCTCTCCTTCTGTCTCTTTCTCTCCCTCGCCCTCTCTCTGCCCAGAAGTCCCACCTAACCTCTGTCTTAGCTATTGGCCATATAGCTCTTTATTAAACCAGTAAGACAGCACTTTTGCAAAGATACATCCTCACAGTATACGAAAAGGTTATGCCGGACTGGAGAGATGGCTCAGAGGTTAAGAGCATTGCCTGCTCTTCCAAAGGTCCTGAGTTCAGTTCCCAGCAACCACATGGTGGCTCACAACCATCTGTAATGAGGTCTGGCGCCCTCTTCATGTCCAGCAAGCATACAAACAGACAGAACACTGCATAATGGTAAATAAATAAATTAAAAATAAAAAAAAAAAGAAAAGAAAGTTGAACATGGCACATTTTACAAATTGTAAAATGGGTGATTTTAAAAGAAAGGAAAGGAGAAAAGTATATATTCCCTTCATTTTTTTTTTAACCTCTGGCTTGTAAAACATACACAGGTGCACAGTACCAGTCTAAAGATGCTTTAGGAAGCAAACAGAAGGAAAGCCAGGTGTGGTGGTTCAAGCCTATAGCCCCAGCATTTAGGAGGGGGAGGACTCCTGACTTGGGAGGAATGCCTTGGGTTCAAGTGAGTTCAAGGACAGCCTGGACTGCCTTGTGAGACAAACAAAACAAAAAAGAAGAGTACTGAGCTGGGTGGTGGTAAGACATGCTTTAATCCTAGCACTCGGGAGGCACAGGCAGGTGGGTCCCTGAATTCGAGGACAGCAAAGACTACGCAGAGAAACCCTGTCTCTAAAAGAAAACAAAGCAGAGGCTAGAGAGATGGCTTAGCTGTTAAGAGGACTGATTGACTGCTCTTCCAGAGGTCCTGAGTTCAGTTCCTGGCACCCACGTGGTGGCTGACAACCATCTATAATAGAATCCAAGGCTCTCTTCTGGCCTGAAGACTACTCATACATAAAATATAAATAAATAAATCTTTAAAACAAAAACAATAGGAGTACAGTAGAGATTGCTCAGAGGTAAAGAGTGTTTGCTAGGTTCAGTACCCAGCACCCACATCAGACAGTTCACAACCACCTGTAACCCCAGCTCCAAGGGATCTGAACACTCTTCTGGTTCCACAAGTACCCACATACACATAAGTAAATAAAAATAGAATAAATCTAACAACAAAATGCTTTAAGGCTAGGCAGTAGTAGCAAAAGTTCTAATTGCAGCATCCAGGAGGTGTAGGCGGAGGATTATACTTTCCCCACCAGGCTGGGCTACGTAGCAAGACCCATCTATAATCCTACCAACTCATAAAGTCATCCAAGGCGAAAGACTCACTACAGATTCGTGGCCAGCCTGAGTTACACAGGGAGCTATGGGCCAGCCTGGAATGCGACCCTGGTTCAGAACAATAAAATAAAATGTAAGCACATGAATAGAATTGCTGTCTGTCTTTTGAGCAGACTCTGAGGAGGGAGGATACTGTTCAGGAGCTAGACACCATCCACAGAGAAAATGATGGAAAGCCAGACCATGAAACTCCGGCAGCAGAAACTGTTGTACTAGAAGAAGCTGAACCGCGGAAGGTGAAACTCGGCAGAAAGGTAGAAGTGGCAGATACGGTGGGGTGCATGGAAGACTAACTAGGTCAGGGGAACCTAGTCAGAGAGCTCTAAATCTAAAGGAAATGATAACTCTCTTTAATTTGGTAGGTGTGTTCATCATAGAAATATTCCCCAATAGCTGCATCAGCAATATGTGCCAGCTCTTTGTATAAACGACTTTATGCATTTCAGTAGTAAATACTGTGACTGTTGTTCATATTCTTTAATCTAGGCTTATTCACAAACATTTATGACAGCATATAATTTGGGGCATAATTTTTAATCGGTGTGATCATTTCAGCTTTACCAACGTTAAATGTGGAAGAAATGCTCTGAAAAGTGCTGTTTCGTCTTTTGTAGCTTCAAAGAACTGAAAGTGTTTTTTATGAAATGCTTTACACGCCTGAGCCAAATGGAATGAATTCTGAGGGGGTGACGGACAAAGAAAGGCATGAAGGTCAGGCACTTGAAGATGTTCCCTGCAGGTAAGAGCAAGAAGACAGGAACTGGCTGTTCAGGAAGCTGGGAGGCTCTTTTCTATGATGTTTTTATTTATTTTCATGTGTGTGAGTCTTCTGCCTGCATGTGTGTGTAGTGCCCACCGAGGTCAGCACTGGATTTAACAGATGATGAGCCACCATATGGACAGAACCCATGCTCTCTGTAAGAGCCCCTAATGCTCTAAACTGCTAAGCCACCTCTCCAGCTCAGCTGTAAGATTCTTTAAAAATAGTGCTAGGTGTGGCAATGCTCCAGAGGCAGAGACAGGTTGAACCCAGACTGGTCACAGAATGAGTTCCAGGACAGCCAAGGTTACGTAGAGAAACCTTCTCTCAAAAAAAACAAACAAACAAACCAAAAAAAAAAAAAAAAAAAAGCCTAGCAGTGGTGGTACGTGCCTTCAGTCCCACACAGAGGCAGAGAGGCAGGTGGATCTCTCAGTTCGAGGCCAGCCTGGTCTGCAAAGCAAGTTCTAGGACAGCCAGAGCTACACAAAGAAACCATAACAACAAAACAAAAACAAACAAACACAATCAAAACCAAGCTGGTTGCTGGATTAGAAGTGGACTTTATGGGTTCAGAGAAATGAGTTAATTGTTTGCCGTACAAATATGAAGACATCAGGTCCCTGATACACACACAAAAGCTAGTACAGGAGTCCCAGGTACAATGAAGAGACCCTGACTCAGATAATATAAAGGGAGGAACAGTAGAGGAAGAGACCCAATAACTCTGACCTCCACACGCCTGCATATGTCCACAAGTGTGTACACATTCATACATACACATACATACATACATACATACATACATACATACATACATACACATACATACATACATTAAGATGCTGTCTGGCAGTGCACCGAGTAGACCGTTTGGAATTTCAATCAGATAATCCTAACATGGCATTGTAAGAGTGTCAGGAAAGTTTTGAAGTACCCACTCAGTATCTAATGGTGTTAAAGTATTAAAAACACAGGCTGGAGAAATGGCTCCACAGTTAAGAGCACAGGCCGCTCTTTCGGAGAACTTGGGTTGGATTCCCAGACCGTACATGGTGGTTCATGGCTGTTTGTAGCTCCACTTCCAGAGAATCTGATGCCTTCTTTTGGCCTCTAAGGGTACTGTGCATGGTATGCAGACATGTACAAAGATAAAACACGCACATACATAACATGAAAATTAAAAATACTGGTTTAGGGAGTCAGGGATTCATGTGAGCTTCAGCTGAAACACAAGTGGTAAAGGGGAGAATTGCTGGTGCTGAATAGGCAGCTTTCACAGATGCTTTGCTCTGTCTTTCTTTGTATTTTATAAGAAAGAAAATAGCAGCTTGGCGGTGGTGGCGCATGCCTTTAATCCCAGCACTCAGGAGGCAGAGGCAGGCGGATTTCTGCGAGTTCAAGACCAGCCTGGTCTACCAGAGCTAGTTCCAGAACAGGCTCTGAAGCTACAGAGAAACCATGTCTCAAAAAAACAAACAAACAAAAAAAGGCATTATTTACAAGAGAAACATTAAGTTGTTAAATATGAGTGGGTGGGGGTGTTTGTTAGGAGAGGGTCTCAAGTAGCCCAGGCTGGCCTACCACTCCCTCCATAATCAGGACGACCTTTACATCCCGCCCTTGTGTGGTGTGGTGCCGCACAGCTGTACTCTCCGCATTTGGGAAGCTGAGTCAGAGGATCAAGTTCAAGAACAGTCTAGGCCATGTAGCCAGACCCCATATCAGAAGAACAAGAGAAACTGCATGGTGTCCTGCAGGCTTTAACATGCTAGTCTATTGTCACTAGCCCTCAAGAAGAGGCGGGGATGACAAACCACCAGGCAGAAGGCCACCCAGAAGAAGTAGAGAGCCATCATGAAGAGGAGGAAACTCTTGCTTCTCTGGAGCCGACTCCTGAGATTCCTAGAGAGAACCAAACCACAGGTACATGCACGCTCCACACTCCCCTTGGTGGGTACTCCTACGCAGTGAGTATACTGGGGTCTTCCTGCGGTGCCTTAGCTACATGGATGTGAGCCTCAGGTTTGTGATTGCGAGAGGAGGAAACAGCTGTCCCTGTTCTGCCACCCCCACCCAGGCTTGGGCTCAGAGGATTAATTTTCATTTTATTTTTAATCATGACACAGTGAACTATTTCTAAAAAGATCCTAGAAGAGCCAGGCACGGGGACTTTCCTGCAGTTCCTATACTCCAGAGGCTGAGACAGTTCAAGGCAGCTTGCACTATCTCGGAAATCATCAGTGCTTAAGACCACGCACTGCTCTTAGGCAGTTTGGTGCCACATCCGATGCCTTGAGCACCTGAGATCATGTGCTCCACTTCTACACAGACATACACGTGTGTTCGTTCGTTGTTTTTGAGACAGGGTTTCTCTGTGTGAACAAGGTTGGCCTCGAACTCACTCACAGAGATCAGCCTGCCTCTGCCTCCCTAGTGCTGGGATTAAAAGAGTGTACCACCACACCCAGCTACATAATTTAAAACAAAGTCCTTTTTAAGCAAGACCTCCCTACATGGAAACCTTTCCTGCTCACAGGACTGGGTTCTGATGTCCTTGCTCCAGCCTGGCTGATACCAGTGGAATAGCACCCCGCTGTCCAAGGGGTCCACATTATAGTGGAGGCTTGGGTACTTCTCTGCCAGTCTTCCTTGTGTGGTTTGTGTGAACGCGATGCTGGAACCTTGGCCTTCACAGGTTCTTCACTCCTGGGCTCCAGCCACAGCTTTCTCGTGGTTTTTAATCCTTTTTTTCTTCTTTCTTTTTGGAGGATGGGAATGGGGTTAGGTGTGCTTTGAGGGGGTCAAGACAGAGTTTCTCTGTGTTGCCCTGGCTGCCCTGGAACTCACTCTATAGACCAGGGTGGCCTTGAACTCAGAGATCCACCTGTCTCTCCTTGCTGAGTGCTGAGACTAAAAGTGTATATCACTACACCTGGCCTCTTACATGTTTGCTTCTTATACTCTGTGAGCAAGACACATTTCCAGTGGAGTTATAGAACAACCAAGTACACAGAGAAACCCTGTCTCAAAAAAACAAAGGAAAAAGTCTCACCGCCTGCCTCCCAGCCCTGCTGGAGTACAGCCTCACCCCTCCCAGCCTTGTGGCACTATAGAGATCCCGGCATCAGGAGCTTCATGGTGTCTTAAAGATATCTTCTTCTGGCCTCTGGACTGGAGAGATGATTCTGAGTAAAGGCACTTGCCACCAAGCCTGACAGCCTGAGTTGGATTTCCAAGCTGTCTTCTGATCCCACAACATGCACAGATGAATGCACACACAAACACACACACTATCAATTACCTATGTTCAAAGCAACATATGTATGTGTGTATATGTATGTATGTTTGTGTGTATATACTTATCTTCTGTTTTCTTGGTGTATTTTAGTGAAAAGTCTGTCCCCGTCTCCTGAGTCCTCCACGTCACCAGATCCGCCCTCTCCGCCAAAGCTCACAGAAGGATCGCATTTCATGTGTGTGTAGTCTCAGAAGTATGTCTTCTCCTTCTCTTTGGTTCCTTGTGTTAAGGGTGTTTTACTTGGATTGTATTCATTTGTTGGAACAGCAGTCCAGGCCAATTAACTGTGGGCAGAGCTCGGCCAGAGCAGCGTGTATCTGAAGGCCAGACGGTAGCTCAGATTTCTCACATTCGTCTGCAGAGATTCGCTCCATGACTTTTTTCTCAGTCTCTCAGCCGGTGCCAGTCCCTCTCACTCTGGCCTGATGCCCTGCCCGTGCTCAGGGCTGAGGATGCATTTGCAGTCCTTTCATGCTGACACGACAGTGTTGGGCACTGAGTTTGGCACCTCTGCCTGGCTCCGTGGGAATTAGCCACTCCTACACAGCTCCTTAGACCGCAGTTGTAGAATTGAGGATAACTCTTGAGTCACTGCTTCCTTTGCCTTTTGTTATTATTACTATTATGTGGTGTGTGTGTGTGTGACAGGCATGAGTGTACCGCAGCGAGTGTGTGGAGACCAGGGGACAACTTGGTAGAATTGGCTCCGGGATTTGAACTTGGGTTGTTGAGTGCGGTGGCAACATTGCTGGGATGTCTCACCGACCCCCAGGACCTGCTTGGGAACAAGGTAGACATTGTTTTACCTATAATTTTCTGCTCATAAGTAAAGAATTTTCTTTTCCTGAAGAACTAAAGTAGAGCCCGGCGGTGGCAGTGCATGCCATTAATCCCAGCACCTGGGAGCCAGAAACAGTTTGAGGCCAGCCTTGTCTACAGAGTGAGTCCTAGGACAGGCTCCACAGCTACAGAGAGAAACCCTGCCTCAAAAACAAACAACAACAAAAACCTACCGTAGAGTGAGAATGTGTATGCCTTTCCTCTGTTTTCTCAGCATCTGCCACCTCTTACGGTGCTGGGAGCTTGCTTATTTTAGGTTACCATAAATTCCCAGCAGGCGTAAGCGGTAATGCAAACACTCAGAAAGTCTTCCAGTTTCACCTGGCCCTTGTCACAGCAGGGCCTGCTGTCTGGAACCTTTCTTCACCTCACTTTTCTAGTAGCCGTTCTCTGTGCCCAGAAGCATTTGTGTCCGAGGAGCTTTATCCGAGACTGTCTGTCAGCCTGCACTGGGTTGAGATGCTACAGTTGGGAGGCTCCTCCGTATCCTGCTGTTTTCGGGTGACACTGGTGGCAGAAGAACCCTAGACAAGGGGAAGTAAACACGCCCCGTACTTCAGTGACGTTGAGAGCCAGTCACAGGGCCAGGTGTAGTGCATACCTGTGATCCCAGCACCCGAGAGGCAAACACCGGTGGATCTCTGTGAATTCCAGGGGCCAAGGCTGCATAGTGAGACCTTGTCTCCAAACAAAAAACTGTCTACTGAGTATGTAGTTCCATTGGTAGAGCTCATACCTAACATACACGAGTGTCTAGATTCAGTTCCCAGCACCACAAAGAACCAGGCATCGTGGTTGTCTTAGTGTTCCATTGCTGTGAAGAGACACCATAACCACGGCAACTCATAAAGGAAAACATTTAGTTGAGGTGGCTTACAGTTTCAGAGGTTTAGTCCATTGTCATCATGGCAGGGAACATGGCAATATGCAGGCAGACATGATGCTTGAGAAGGAGCTGATACACACTGAACCACTAGCTTGAGCAGAGGAGACCTCAGATACCCCCATAGTAACACACTTCTTCCAACAAGGCCACACCTCCTAATAGTGCCACGCCCTTTGAGGGCCATTTTCTTTAAAGCCAGCAGAGATGATGCACACCACTAATCCCAACACTTGGGAGGCAAAAAAAAAAAAAACAAAAAAAACAAAAAAAACAAATTCAAGGTCATCCTTGATTAACAGGTGAGTTCCAGGCCAGCTTCCTGTGGCTCTATGTCAAAACAGAATGCCATCCATATGAATTCTTGGCTCAGTAAACAGGCTATAACCTTTGGCACAATAACCGTTCCTCCAACAAAGGAAGGTCAGAGCTCGAGGTTCGCCAGTGTGATAACTTGTTACTGAATCGTGTCTTCTGACTCATTCCAAGTGTCATTGGTCATTATCTCTAGGCACAGCTGTCAGCACACGTAGTGTGGCCACCACACAGCTGACCTGTGGCACAGACACTGCCATGCTTACCATTGCGTCTGTCCTGTATTTCTGCTCTTGTGGTTTTGCTGGGATGGGAGAATCCTCACGAATGCCGCTCCTGCTGTGGGGGTGGCTCAGTCGGTTAGTTCATATGATAGTGGAGTCAGGCAAAGCTATGCCTACCTTATTGACCTGCTCAGCAACACATTCGAGACATTTTTTTTCTGAATTGCTGTTTAATTGCATCGGGCTTCTCTGTGTTCTCAGTTGGACGTAAGGAAATGAAGAAAGTGCCCTTCTGTGTGCTCTGTGTTAGGGTTTTCCAGGCCATGTTTGTCAGTCACTTCTGCTGTTCTGCCTTAATTACTTTGGGACACTGCCATTCCTTGGCTTTGCCAATGTCAAAAGTCATTTCCTCTCTCTTGGTTTTCAGCTGCACTGACTCTTGAGAGCACACAGAGCTGAAGCTGTGGACCCTCAGCGATGGAAGAAGATGTTGTACAGTATACCTTAAATCTATGAAATTCATAGTTCTGATGCTTCTGACCTCAGAGCATCGTTTTATCACCTTTGGAAAATGTTTATTCCAAAATAGCTTTAATGGCCCATCCGTGCACTCCGTAGTCTCAAGGTCACCATCCTCCACCAGTGCTGCTGTAAGTTCAGAGCATACCAGTCCAGGTGCTTTCTCCCTCGCGCTCCATCCAGAGCTTGCTTAGTTGCAGTTCCCAGATTCGGATGCATAAGTCTAGGTGAATTTACGTTGCTTTGGCTTTTCCGCAAAGCTATACTTTCGTGTGAAGCTTGTTTTCTTTCCTTCTTTTTCTTCCCATTTTGGCTACTGCAGTACTTTGTTTGACACTTGATTTGTAAAAATTTTATATAAATATATTTAAAATGTGCCATTTTATTACTGCTAAGTGAAGTATGTCCTGTTTTATGCTCTAATTCTTCCTCGGTCAGATTGCACCGTCAGCGGTTACTGCCACACTCTGTCAGCTTCAACACAAATGCTACTGCTTAGCTTTTCTTTAAAAAGCAAAACAATTACAAGTGTAGGTATTTTGAAGTACTGGACTTTTACGTCATTGGAATAGATGTGTACAGCAATAAGCAGGCTTTTAGATCCAGTACTTGGTCTGTGTACAGATGTAATTATGTTCATTGTGTAGATGTTATACAATGAGCACATGTAATAAAGGCTGCTTACTATAGTTTAATGCAAATGTTCATATCTCATTTCTTTTTTATCATGTTAAATAAATGTTGATGTTCTTAAATCACATGTGTTAGAATCTTTTTCCCTCCCTCCCTCCCTCCCTCCCACTCACCCCCTCTCTCCAGGGTTTCACTATGTAGCTCTGGCTCTGAAAGACAGCCTGCCTCTGCTTCCCAAGTGTTGGAATTAGAGGTGTACACCACCACATCTGGCTACAATCATTTTTCTTTTCATCGAAAATGGAGAATCTGAGATCTGGAATGTAGCCCAGAGGTAGAGCGCTTTTCCAGCATGTCTGAGGGAAGGGGGGAGCGGATCAGAGACCCAAGTGACTTCTAAAAGAAAAAGTGGTGTGTTAATCCTGTCTCCCTGAGCAGCGCCATTAGGAGGTCTTATGTGCCCAGCCCTCCCATGACAGAGTAGAGGAACCTGAGGCCAGAGAACAAAATGATGCCGACCACAGTCATACCCACTTCATGACACAGGAGAGCCCACCATATCATTGCCCCCACTTCCCGTAACTCCGTCAGCTCATCGCCAATGGGCAGACTTAGTTTTGTGAAGTCTTCTACCCCATTTCCATGTCCCCAAGCTGCAGTCCCAGTGTGCTTAGTGAACATGGGGGAGGGCCGGCAGGGCTGCCCCTCGGCCTGTTGGGAACAGACAGTGTTTCTCACGAGTAGGGGCCCTCGGAGATGGTCTCTTTAGAATACATTCTTCACAGACGTTCACGCTCTTCAGACTCAATTACATTTCCTCCCACTCGGACCTTTTGTTTGTGCTATATATTGTTCCCAGAGTTCAAGGAAATGCTAAGCCTTCTGGATTCCCGCACAGAGCAGCTCTGACCAGTTGGCCCCCATCCCCTCCACCCAACCCCACCCCCCACCCCATGACACACTAAAGAGGATTTAGACTTAATTCTAAATGCAGGTGAATGAAAATGCATGCACTGCAAAAGGAAACAAACAAAAACGTGCTTCACTGGAGTCTGCGGGTCAGTGAGCACAGGTTAGCCCAATGCTGCAAGCTCCATATCGCTGTCAATCAAGTCCCAGACCACACCCCTTCAGTCATATCATGATGGAAGGTGGCTTTGCCATGATGAGAGGTGGTTTTATTTTTCTCTGAGGATTCTTTGAGAGTCTTTAGGGTTTGGGGTTGTGGGGGGAGGGACTCTTTTTTTTTTTTTTAAGATTTGCTTATGATCTTTAAGTGTGTTTGTGTGTATTTGTGCACACGAGTTCAGGATCCCACCAAAGCTACAGACATCAGAACCTCCAGATGGAGTTACAGGGAGTTGTGGGCTACGGTGAATCCCACCAGGCGAGAATAGGACCACTGCCACAGTTTCGAGCCAAGCTGAAGCAAGCTTTAAGTTCTGGCCAGGTCCAATCTGGGGTTCCCAGAACTTCCTGCCTACATCCATCCTGGGACAAGCAGACATCCTGATGCACTTCCTGCCCCCATACCTCCTACCTGCCTGCAGTCAAGCACACCTGTGCAACTTGTCCGGGAGAGTGAAAACGTGGCTTGCTATCTTACGTGGCCAGCAACCTCCAGCCTCTCAGGAGTGCCTGCCCGGGGCATGGGGCTTACAGCTTGGAGGCATTTTTGTTTTATGGAGCTCAGAGATGCAGTAATTAAAACTTAAAACACGACTTTGGCCCTTGCCCTGCCTGACATGGTCACCAAACTTGGGTCCTCCGAGAGAGCAGTATACACCCTTTGTTCCCGACATCTCTCCAGACCCTACTTAGGTTATTTTACCTCTGTTTCTAAGTATGCATGTGTACCCCACATGTGCGTGCATGCGCATGAGCAGGCTCAAGGCCAGAAGGGCTTCTGTTCACCTAAACTGCTTTCAAGTGACTGTGAACTGCCACGTGTGGGTGTTGGGCAACAAACCTGGGTCCACTAGAAGTGCAACAAGTGTTCTTAACCTGATCCATGCCTCTAGCTCCTCCCCACAAGTCTTCCTAAGGAGAAGTAGTTGGTGACATTTCTGTAAATCATCTTGAGTTATAGGAACTTCTGGAGTTTATCTAGCAGAATCTGTCGCTTCTGATTCTCTGCCTTCACCGCCCACATGCTGGGATTGTGGACCTGCGCCACCATGACCCATTTTATGTAGTCGCGGGGATCAAACCCAGGGCTTCCTGGGTGCTAGGGGAGCACTCTGCCAGCTAAGCTGCCTGCTGGCCCTAAATCAGTCTCTAAATGCAGAAGCTTCTTTGTTATGCTAAAGTGCTTTGAGTGGAGGTTTCCCAAAATTCCTTGAATTCATCATGTGCCGGTTAAATGTAAATCTGTAGTATGTGGTTTGGAGTATTAAAGTTGGCATTAATTCTTTTTTTATTTGTTGATTTTGAAGTTTTTAAAAAATCGATCAGAAACATGAAAGGGCCAAGAGTAATACGGCTGGCAGAAATAAACCGTGCCATGGGATTTGAGCCTGGGGTCACTCTCTTAAGCATAGGATAGAACCAATGTTCCCGTGTGCCCCTCGGGAATCCCTGGTCTCTGGGTACAGTCCCTGGCTCTGCTCTTCCCTAAGACATTCCATCTGACAGGTTTTTTGACATACCCTCAAGGAGCACCTGCTGCAGGTGTAGGTTGTTCAAGCAGCTGCAGAGACACAGATGGCAGAAAGAGGCTTGGTCTGACCACAGGCGGGGCCATGCTTTTCACAGTGAGGGGTGGGGGACTTTTGTCACTCGTGCAGTGGACCACAAGGCCTACAGAGACGGATAAGGTGCAGCTCTTAGAGGGGCAGAAACGACTTACACAGTCCACAAGGGAAACTGGGAGGTGAGATTTTTCTGTGGGAAACTCATTCCTACCTCAGAAACTATAAAAAGTGCAGGGCAAGGGTGTTCCAGCTGCTTTCTCCTGAGGAGGGTCTTTGTTGGAAGGGGTAGCTGTAGGTCCCTAAAGAGGGGGATCCTCCAGTCATGTAGCAGAGGGAAACTCTGGATTAGCTGTGATGGATCAGGCCATTGTCCTCGATTGCTGAGGAGACTTGGAAAATAATTGTCTCTGTGAGCAGATGACTCAGGGACAGACTGGGCGATTTTCTGGGAAGGATGAGGGATAGGGAAGAAAAGAGGTGGGAGGAACACAGTGGCCACCGAGAGGAAGTAGGCATAGAGTTGACTCACGGTGGCAGTGACTGGTCCCATTGCCAGGAATAAATTGAAATGAGCTAGCAGAAGTGGCAGACCACTACAGAGCATCAAAAGAAGGGAAAACAGAAAATAGAAGACTGTCCTAAAGAATTGTGTCTGGCCTGGTGTGAAAGGGTGAAAGGTCTTTTTGCAGACTGTCTTAGTTAGGGCTCTATTGCTCTCAAGAGACACCATGACCACCCACGGCATCTCTTATACAGGAAAACATTTAATTGGGTCTGGCGTATAGTTCAGAGGTTTAGTTCATTATCATCGTGGCAGGAAGCACGCAGGCAGGCATGGTGCTGGAAAAGGAGCAGAGACTACTACATCCAGATCGGCAGGCAGCAGGAATAGAGAATGATACTTGGGTCTGGATTGATCTGAAATCTCAAAACCCCACCCCACCGCTGTTATACACTTCTTCCAACAACAAGCTCACACCTCCAATAATGCATTCAAACCGCCACAGATGTATCAGGAAAAAAACAGAGCTATGAGAGGGTTACCTGGGACCAGCTGCCTTCATGGCCCACTGACCACTGCTGCCACTTGGGGACCTGCAGCATTTTACCATAACAGAAAGCATCTAAGTGGTATTTCTTGCTTTCATGTATGATGGGCTTGATATATATATTTTTTTAAGTATTTACAGTAACAGCTACTAATGAACAAAAACAGCATCTCAAATAAAACAATTTTTGGTTAGAAACAATGTGATAGGTAAAAGCCTAAAACTTGGGACTGTTACCTTAAATGACCCTATCAGTATCTGAAAACACGGCAATACAGATTTTTGTTATAGTTGCTAGGTCATCATCTGAGATGGCGGCAACCCAGGTGCTCCTTAGTCCTATTCCAAGGTGAACCCATTAGGTGCGCACCCCTTTTTACAAACAAACAAAAACTACTTTCACAAGCAAGATCCAAGTTACATGCAGGCATTCTGTAGCAAAATAAGATTACCTGTGTAGATTTCCTTACAGTCAGCCCTTCTAACGCAATTTTACAGATTTTTTAAAACCACATCCAATGAATTGACAAATCCTAAACTACAGAAAGTCTTACAAATCCTGAGATGAAACGTAACCTTTCGCAAAAGTTTTAGAGATATAAGAGGGGGCGTTGTTTAGGGAGTTAAACAAAACCAAGAAAAGGAATGTAAGATAAGCAGCCACAATCCCTCCTGGGAATGGTTTCCTTGTAGCTGTTTCTAAGCACATAGTATCTTTTTGTAGGCCAGTCAGTTTTTCTCTTCTTTTTCCTGTCACAGAGTCCGGTGACCCACTGTGGGAGGCATGGAGATCTTTGTGCTCACAGATAAGCACTATGGGAACCTGGAATGTTAAAACACACAATTGTTCCTTCAAAGGAAGGGGTACATAACCTGTTATCCACCCAGAAGGCTAGTAGGATACTGTTTAATAGCCTGGTGACCTTTGTGCTTTCTGTGTGGTGACCACACCAGATCCTCCCCCAAGACCCTTATCATGAGCTTGCCAGTTTAAACCCATCTCTATGGAGGGGTCACTTGTACTCTTTGTAGAGTCTTAGTGAAATCACGTCGGATCTATATTTAACTTACTTTGTGATTTATTGTACACATAGGATTCAGTTAATTATTACCAGGAAAGTTTTCCCTAAATTGTGCTTTGCTTAAATAGGCCTGCAACAAACTAATTCAGGGTCAGATTCCTGATGTTTGAACCAACAGTGGCTCCTTACTTGTGTTGAACCTCCCTGCCTTCCTGCTTTCCTCTGCTAGGCCATAGTGGTTGCAGCGACCGCTCACAGCCCACCTCACCCGGCAGAGAGACTTTGAAGGAAACTTAAACAAACATACTTGGGTCTGGAGCAGGCAGGCTAATTTCCAGCTCCAGAGCCTGCCTTTTTAATAGAGTAGAACGCCATGAAACAATTTTTAATATTATTCACACAAAAGATATTTGAATCTCTGTAAGACTGAACCCAAAGATCTCCACATCCATAATCAGTTTGTTTGCATGTCTGCACACAAATCTGAAATTCTTTTACCTCTTAGCTGTTAAAGATACAAGCGTTGTCGATTGCGTTGGGTGGGTTACTCAGTCTAGGGGTTTGTAACCCACCCTGCAATCAGTTATTCCAGGGTCTCGAAGGGGCGCTACCTGGAAGGGAATGAACTAGGACAGAAGAATGAGGCTAAGCAGATTTGTCAAAGCCCCCCTTTATTAGGATCATGGTTGCTGCTTATATAGCCCTGGATGAGGACTTGGTGGACAGGGCACGGGATCTCACCAGCTGTGTGGTCCTGGTCATGTAGGCCAGGTTCATCATGTAGGCCAAGAGGTTACATTCGGACAGGTAGGCCAAGAAGTCACAAGTTGCCGCACCTGGTTCCCTGGATAGCTGGAATGTGAGGCGCGTTCCGCTAACAGATAAGTTAATTGGATGTGGGGCAGGTTCTCTCAATAGAACATAATTATGTGTCAGGAGCCATTTCCCCCCTAACAATCATTACAGAAACCATCACTCTAGGGAGTCTGCAGAGAACCTCACACCCATAATTATGTTCTATTGACAGAATCTGCTCACCCAATTAACTGTTAATCTATTAGCAGAATACACCTCACATTCCAGCTACCCAGGGAACCAGGTGTGGCAACTCGTGACTTCCTGGCCCTATCTGTCTGTCTGAATGTAACCGAGCTACGTGACCGGAACCACGCGGCCTGCGAGATCCCGTACCCTGCCCCTCATCCCTTACCATATATAAACTGTAACCCGTCCCTAATAAAC